ATATTCCTCAGCTTCACTGGGGACACACGTGCATGCAAGGGCGGGGGTCTGTCAATGCCGTATCTCCTTTATTGCAATGGCATGGGATTAATTCAAAATTCCATTGTCTTTTAGCTGGTCAGATTCTCCTAAATCATTCATGGTGTTCCTGACCTGGGCTGATTTGCTGAATGTGCCTGAATCCTAAGATGGGTAACATTGAGAGAAACTGAGATGGGAGATAAGGAATTTCCTTAAAAGCCCACGTGGATTCAACAGTAAACTCGTACGTTCAGCTGTACGTGCCATGGGCCAAATTCTGAACTCCTGGAATCCTGCCTGTGTATATTTAGACTGACTTCACTGAAGCTGATCTATGTTACAGTTTTACCCTTTTTAATAACAGTTGTAATAATTTCTTCCTATTCTTGTTGTTGTGACATCTCTTGCACTGGGGAGCCTTCACCAGCTGTACCGGCTGTTTATCTGTAGGAGCTAAGAGCCACGGTTCATCAGTAAGTTCATGTAGGGTAGGGGCAACAGACTGAGAAAATGGAAAAGGAAAGCAAAATACCAAGAATTATTTCTTGAGGATCTTACTCAGATAAAGTCACAGAACAAATAGGACTGAGGAAGTTATTCATGGCCAAATGGAAAAATCATGATGAGGTAAAGTTTGTCACCCAAAGCATTTGCACAGTGATAAATACCCCTGACAGCTGAACTGACTGTTCAAGCAGTAATTATTCAAACGGGTACAAGTGATGAAAACATCTATGGCTAAGTACAGTCGTTTAAAAAGCCCAAGGTGGAAGTGCTCTAAGTATCGCGCCTTACTCAAAGTGCCCTAGATGAGCGTGGGAGCGACTAGAACTGACAGTCACCCTGGGAGGAAGGGGGTGCACAGAAGTGGCCTACACTGGCTGAGGCCAGCAAGCGGGGGGTGCTCCCACATGTGTCCCAGGCAATTGCTGGCACAGCCCCTCTCCCAGCCATACCCCCTTGCCGGCAGGCGGCTGTCAGCAGCAGCTGTGGGGGGAGAGAGAGGGAATGGAGCGCTCTGCCATGTGGGCTCCCCCCAGCTTTCTGGCTCTGATCTTAGGGGGGGCTGGGCCTGCACGGCAGAGGGGCTACATTTCAAGCTGTGCCAGGAAGCCCCAAGCTGCCACTCTAGGCTGCAGTTGTCAGGAGGCTTGGGATGGGGTGGGGGCCACCCCTGCTGCATGGATCTGATTCAACCTCCCCCAAGACCTGAGCCCGCAAGCTAGGGGGGAGACCATGCAGCAGGGGGGCTCCGTCCCCGCACCTCCTGCCCAGCCATGCCGGGTGGAGACAGCCCAGGGGCAGGGCTCAGCCAATGCTCGTCCAGAGCAGGTTAGCACCAGTGGAAGCTAATACGCTGCCCTGCAAAGGACCCCTGGGATGCCAGAGGACTGTGACCTAACCTGAGTCACGATGGAATCTGGTATAGATGTTTGATAAAGTGCTGTAACCTAAAGTGCTTTAGCCTGATACCACATCCATCCAGGGTTTTCTGCCATTTTTAAAGCACCTTATTTGCGGTGAACGTCTGCTTGGTTAGGTTACGACTGTAGAGTGCTTTCTGCATGTTTATTGCACAATAAGTGTAACATCTGTACCTAGCCTAAATTCCATATTTTGGGCTAGGAATGGTAAATATTGTCCATTTCATTTAAGAAATCACCCAGGCCCCCCTCTACATGTTACATCTGTTGTGCAATTACCTGGTTTACTGCACAATTTAGACTGGCTACATGTACAAATTAACTGTGGCATCTTAAAAAGGTCCAACCAGCTATAAAGTTATTGCTAAAAAGTGTGTACTAGCTTTATAGTTGGTTTTTCCAGCTTTAATTTGCATGAGTAGCCTGTGCTTCCATAGCTGGAAGACCGCAGCTGCTGCAATCCAGGGCGATTCCCCTGCACCTGCACAATAGGATCTTATGCTGCATCCTACAATCACGCCTCCTGCCATGCACGTGTACAGACCTTACTGCTGTTGTTTTACATAACACTTGTTAATGCCCATCTTCTGCTTCCCTGGGTCTTGGTCAAGAGTTTTCTGCTTCTTGCAGAATGACTGGTACATCTGGAAAAGGCACTTAGATCCCTTTCACATAATTTTAATAATGATGTCATCATGCAGGTAACCACTGATGGTCAAGACCTATATAATCAAGGTTGTAGAATACAGTATTGTGTTATAGGAGTATATTCCAAGGGACTGCACAGCCCATTCAAATCTTTAAAACACTTGTATTCATCGATACTCCTCTGAAGTCAAACCACAGTAGCCTGAACTTTAGATACTAGAAGCCAAACCACATGCACAATGTTGAGAACAGAAAGTACAATTGAGTGAGGTGGATTTTGAAACACTGTTTTAGTGAACTTTTTATAGCAGTCTAAATGATGTAACCCTTTAGTGACTTTGAGGTACATGTGTCGGTTGCTCAAATGTTCAAGAATAAACCACAGAAACATTCATTTCTATGGAGTGGGAAACCAAAGCACAGAAAAGTGAAATTAACTGCCCAAGGAAACCCAACTGGACACGAACAAGGTCAGGGCTATATTCAGGATCACCCAAAGCTTCATGTCTTCTATAATAATTATAACCTGTTGTAATTTTTCTGCTAAGCAAGAATGTACTGTCTCTTTTCCTAACTCTAAAGTATACCTTTATGCTTACACCTATAAGTATTAACACTGTCTGTTGAATAGCACTGTCTCAGCTCCCAGGTAACAGTTTTCCTTACTTCTTAACAGAAGAGAAGTGTTACCAGAAATACCCTACAGAGAGAACAGTTCTTGTTGCTGGGAAGTTGCACATTCAAGTGTCCAAGCCCAAAACCACAATGTACTATTTACTTTAGACAGTCATGCGATAACGCATTTTTCTTCTGTTGCAAGCTGTTAAAAATAAAACAGCAATTCAGAAAAGTTAAAACAAAAAGGGGCGCCTGACTTTTCACGTAGTTAAATGTCTAGCGTAGCTGGTTGATGAGATGAATGAGAGCATGTTGCAGAGCTTGATCTCTTCTGGCCAGATGTAAAAAGGCAGTACATAATCTGCCTACATTTTTTTGAGAAATAATTAGCACGGTAAAGTGTTGCAAAGCCAGGACAGGGTTATGATATTTGACTAAGAAGCAATTAGGCCATGCACTTCTCCCATAATCTTCTTTGCACTTTCTTCCTCGCCACTCTCACCTGTGGAACAGCTTTCTGGATCAAGTTCACTTGCCCAAGCATTAAGAGCTCTCCTAAAACTCCCTCAACCATATTGGTTAATCCTTCTTTTCTCCATCATGGTGTGCAATGGGCTTCATGGAGCAGCTGTGTTCCCCTAGTCTTTCTCAGTGAATTTTCTGAACAAACCCCTGCACCTACATGGAGCACAGCTGAAGCCTTTGTAAGCTCCTGAGGGCAGGGATCATGGGCACACTTACAATCAACAGAGCTGTGCCAATGAATCCAAGTTTACATTAATACCATGTCTCAGTTTCTCTTGTGAACTGCCTAGTGCCAGGGTGCCAGGTGTTAGGACATAAGCAGGCGTGAGGAGATAAGTGCAGGCTCAGGGGTGTCACTCAACTCACAAAAGCCTCAAGTCAAATCAGGGGTGCCTCACATTAAAAACGTTGAAAGGCTGGCCTAGCATGATAGATGCCATCTTGGTCAACACTGAACCAGAGGCATGAGTCTCTATAGTTTGAGTTACAGATCAGGGTAGTGGCTCCTAAAAACTTGCATCCACTGTGGATTAAACTCCAAAAGGGGACCACACAATGTATACTTGACTGGAAGTTACCCAGAACACCTTTGGATGAGGTGAAATAAATAGTGACAGCCAGGGCAGTGTAAAGTACTCCCAGTAAGAAAAGCAGTGATGACCTGTACGCTGAATAAATTATGCTTGATCAAAATCTGCTTTAAGCATTCAAAGAGGAAAAAAACAGCGGATCCTGACTTCTTAATGATAGTAATTAGAATGGAAATAGTTTGCTATAACTGGCTTTTGTGGGCTGAAATTTTATACTGCAAAAAATGGTTGGTGTTGTTCGTAAAAATAGTGAGAAGCTGGAAAGATTGTTTCCTCCTCGGAGATTTTCAGCATAAATGGGCTCTGTAGGGGTTTCTCAAGGCAATTGATTTAAACAAGTCTGACACCAACCAGGCTTTTAAAAGCTTTTCATTCTGGTTGATCAGATCGAAACCGCCACTGCTCCCACTTCTGCTCTGTGGGACAGAGTGTGTCGGTCTGCACGGGACAAAAATGACTATCTCTTATCACCATAACATGCATGTGACCACCAGGACGGATACTGCAGCCAAGCAGGTGCAGCAGATTCCACGATGCGTTATCTCTAGCCACGTACTGTCCTGTTTCTAGAAACACTCTTGTGATTGATGCGATAAGAGCCCACCACAGTACTTCTCCTATGTAAAGGAGTCAGCAAAAGTGTCTTCTTCAAAATGAACTTGTAGTAAAAAGCGCAGTAGGAAATATAGCTAGAACTCTGTATCATTTTCTTTTTTGCTTGCTAGGGGAGATGCATCATCTTTACTGGGCATCTGGTAAAAAAATGGGTAGTAAGGAACTAAGGTCCCACCATCTTGCAGACACTCACGTGAGCAGGCCCATTCAACCCCATGCACCTCCTTACTTGTGTAAAGCTACTCACGCACCTAGAACAATTACTCTCTGCTTATCAGAGTGCTGCAGGGAGCATTCACATTCAGCCGCTGCTACACAGATGTCATACTGGCGTGTTTTAATTTGAACCCTGTTAACCCCCAGTGCGTCCAACGTGTTGTTACAATACCTGGCATTTAAAATTGTTTAATATATATCCCACAATTTAAAAAGATATCTGACATACATTTACAAAGGAACAAAGAATGTGTTGTTGTTTAAAAAAGCGGGAAATGGAACATTTGTCAAGATTCCTCCATTAAATACCAAATCCTTTTATTTTATGATTGCCTCTAGGTTCCTGGCATTTTTCCAGCCTGGCACTGAATGAATGCTTTTAGCTTTGCAAGCAGACATCTGTGGAAGCCGAGGGTCAGGGACCCAATCCAAAGCTAATTGACTTCAAATTTCCTTGGATCAGGCTCTAGTTAGGTGGCCAGAGCATTTAGGACCATCACACTGTACTCCAGTGCACAGGTAATGCTGAAATCTTACCACGTGCTGCTGCCTAGGTGGAATTCCTAACCACCACAGGCAAAGTCTTACTAGCAGTTTTTGTCCTTTTAAATTAAATGTAAGCGTGACCTTTTCCTAGGACCAAAAGCTTCCCTGTGGTGAATAATGCAGTATAGAGTGAAAGAAAGGAAGTACCCGTGCAAATGAGCTAGGAAATGGGTATCTCCCAACCATATTTTCATTGCACCCTGAAACAAACTATGGATGGGATGCAGTGGATTCCCCAGAGGTACTGGGGTGCATGAGTAGGAAGCCTTGGCAGCCCTGGTCATTTCCAGATGGAAAACTGGAGTTGCAGCATAACCTTCTCTAGCCATCTCCCCCTGGCTTTTTGCCCTTCTAGATTCCCTCCAGTACACAAGTCTGTGGGCTACTGGAAATGTACTGGAGCTGCTGTCACCCTTTACCAACTGTGCTCCCACAAGTGGATCTGAGAGCTGCAGAGAGCTCATACATCGCTCCCCCCACATCCTTCCCTATATTATCACCCAGCACTTCAGTTTGCAGGGGCTTTCCAGGAGTTAGCCTGTAATGAGCACAACTGCTTTCCTCTCAAGTCTGAAGAGATACTGAAAATACTTAATTAGCACGTCCACTTCCTCTGTTCCCCAGAACCTATTCCCCAGGGCTGTATTTGTGCAGTTTGAAATGACCAAAACAGTTTTTTAAAACTAATTCTTTCTCCAAAAAGCCCTGCCACCCACCCCTCTCCCTTTTGCCAAAGCTCAGTTTGAAGGAAATGGACACGCTTGTAAACTCGGAGGAACAGAAGTTAAAGATGAAACCTGAACAAAATAATTATGACAAATACACCCCAATAATAGAGAGTAGCAATGAGGATGGCACAATGCCCAGAGGGGCCTCTGGTAAATGTTAATGAGTTTGCTCTTTTTATTTTCTTTTTTTAATATTATGTTTACAGTAAACAGGTTCGTTCTCTGGAGAGCACTCCTCCTTCCTGGTAGACTTCTTTTTTCTTTACCACATCAAATAATAGAAATCTAGGTAAAATCTTGTATTGATGATTCTGCATCATTACCTGCACATAAACAATGCAATGGATATAGGGCTTTTTCCAGTTCATGCGATCTTTGCAAACTAATCTCGATCTCCACAGATGTGGCTATAATTTTAAATATTGGCCAATGCTGACCGAATAAAAAGTTATCAGCTGATAGTTTATTGGTAACCTGTTTGTTATTCATTATTTGTGATATGCAGAAGTTCACCAACAGCAAATTGTGCTGCTCCCTGATTGGATGAGAACCATTTTGAACAAGAGAATGCTGAATAGCAATTACTAAATACTAAATGTTGAAAATTCTCTTCGGCTTACAAGCATCATGTTAGCAAGTCAATGCAGGTATAGATATAAAGAACAGATGTTCTGCCAAAATTCAGTTGAACAAAACTCTTTTGTGCAGGTGCTCTCAACTACCAACTATAAGTGAGCTTAAACCTGAGCAGACTAAGGACATCTCAGAATTTGCACAATGTTAACAGACACTGGGTTTTGTGGCATACAAATAGTTCATCTTCAGGCACCAGGCACCGGGAAGTTTTGTTCAGGGACTGAAAATATCCAGATCGGGAGATACCACAGTAATTCCAAAGTGGGTGCAATTGTACAAATATGCGTAAAGACAATGATAGATAGTTTTTGCTTAACTATATGGCAAAAAACAACATTGGGGCAAATTCTGTCTTCACTTAACTCTTGCCGTACCAGTGAAATCATGCCTATACACATGCTCCAACGCGTTCTGATTAGAACACGTTCTGATTCGAGCAGCGTTTCTCAACCCATGGGTCACGACCCAGAAGTCGGTAGCAAGAATATGTGAAAGGGTTGCAAACAAACTTTAAAAATGGATTCTCCTTTAAAGGAGAAAAATGTGGGAAACCGTGGTTTTACCCTTGTAGACTGCTAGAGTTCCAGCCTGCGGGGGGCTGCTTTGGGCTTCTTGGGGCCCGCCATGCTCCACATACATCTCACCCTGCTCCACACACTGGGGGGCAGTGGGTCAGGAGTGAGGGGCACTGGGTCAGGACTGGCCATTGATGTTTACAAATGGGTCCTGGTACAAAAAAGGTTGAGAACTGCTGAATTAGAGCATTCTAATTAAAATGCTCCAGCCTGCTGCAGCTTCTCATGTATTCAGTGTCCCACATTTCAAAATGGTGGCAGAGGTGCTTTAACTAAAGCTCATTCAATGAGTTTTAGTTAAAGCATTCCCCCTGCCATTTTGAAACGCGGGATGCTGAATACACGAGACACTGTGGCATTTTAATTAGAGTGACCCCCGAGAGCTGCTCTAATTAAAACAGCCCCCTCCCCACCCCACCCCAGAGAACATGTATAGGTACTGAAAGCAGACTTTAATTTTTAGATGTTATGGGCTATAACGATCTATTTACCTTTTACCCATGCACATGATGCATCAGACAAGTCTATAATTAGTTTAAACTAAAACAAAGTGCATGTCTATTATTAACAATATTGCTTAAAAGTCTCAACACCATGGCTGGAAAATTAAAGCCAAGTAACTGTTCAGAGACAGTCAATGCTTATAAAGCTTATGACCTTAGTTACTGACTATACATACAAACAAACAAACTAACCAGACATAGATATCCCCTAGGAATGATCATGGTTTGCAAAATTTTTGGGGCTTGCAGCCAACCTGTAAAGACCATGGAATAAAAAAATGTGTCTCCTCATGCCAGCTCATTAGTCAGTGCCCTTTCTACACTAGCTGAGAGTCTGGCTTGGAGATGTGCTTCTACGATTTTTGCATCCTTTCCAATAAATATTGCCGACTCTATGGCTCTAGCAGTTAGGAAGAATTCCACTGAATAATCGCTGACAGCACTGTACACTTTGACACAGCTTCCTCAATAATGCTTCTACCTTCTACCCATCCCTCTTTTGGGGCAGTTGTTCATGTCTGTCTGATCCCTATTGTTCTGTGAGACTCTAGATCATTGCCAGTGTATATATAATAGTGTATCTGTGACCCTTGCATTCAGCAATCTTAATTGGACCTTTTCAGTCATCTTTAGGGCATTTGGTTTTTGGCCTTTGGTGTTTCTTGTTTTGATGGACTTTAAATATGCACAATTAATTATGAATGCTAATATTTCAATTCTTTTGCTTATTTGCTTCATCCATTGCAGCATGGCATATCCCTACCAAGAACCTAAGGATTGCCTCTGTGTCTCCTTGTATTTGCTGCATCCTTCAAGGCCTCTTGCAATCAGCCACCATCATATAAAGCCATGAATATCATGACTTCAAAATCAACAAGAGAGATCACTACTGAGCAAAACAAGGTTAGGTCATGTTATCTGAATAGTGCATGTTCTCCCCTTAGACTATCCTAGTGTTTGCTTCCAAAGCCCACTGAAGTTGACAGGAATTTTTGCCTGTAAATATACAATCATCTGCATTTTAGAGGCAGGTGAGTGAGATGGAGAAGTTAATGGTAAACTTTTTCACAGTGACAACTCATTTTGGGAGCCTTTATTTTTGGTGTGAGCCATGTTGGACATCATTTTCAAAGATGGCTAGGTGTAGTTCCAGCTGCAAATGCCCGGCATCTTCAAAAAATCAGAGCTTACATATTTTAACCTGTGTGCCCAGAATTACCTCTGAAAATACCACCCTCCATGACCAGCCACACAGTGAATACATTTTAGGGAATAAACTCATTAGAAAAAGGAGCTCATGTTCATGGATTGGATATGTTTCTGGCTTCCAACTCAATTCACTAGGCTGTGCTGTCTTCCAAAATCTGTATTTGAATATCTCTGCACTGGTATTATCCCCTATTTCAACACTCACCTGTACAAAGCATGTTGCTGTTGATACACACAAAATTTTTGTTCTTATTGAAGTAGTACCAGAAAGACCTTTCTTTGCTTCCACCATTTTGTTTTGGACACTGTCATGATGAGGCAGACAGGCAATGAGACAGCTGTGATGACTAAACGGATACCCAGAAAAGTGGCATTGCAGTAACTGTAAAAGTTCACAGAAAGTCTTCGCTTATTCATGTGATGCCCCAGCAGGGTGGAGGATGGTCTGACTGGTACAAAATACAGAATGACAGCTTGCTTAGAAGCCAGGAGTTGGGGAAATGGCCTTACTGACAAATGGGTGGATTATTGCCCATGGAAATTGTCAGTCTTTGTACATGAACTACTCCTGTGCCCTGGATATGAGTGGTAGGGATGGTATAGGATCTTAGATTCACTGTATCCCAGTATATAGTAGCATAATCTAGCTACCAGACTTCTACTGTGACATTAATTTTCTGTGCTTTGGATGAAATCCTAGTATTATGCTTGAGGATCATGTGTGGGAGCAAAGCTGTGCTGGAAATGTCAAAAATCGCAAACCCATCCTGCCTGGGCACAGCAAGATAGCCCAAGGTGAGTGAGGAAAAGGAATCCTGCTTCATTAGAAAAGAGCAACCCATGGCTCAGAAACTGTCCTGCTTGCATACCTGCCTAAAGGCTGAGCTCCAGCCATGGGCCCTAGTGGCCAGGCATCTGGCTTTATGGACCTCTGGCATTTTTTGAAGTTGCCTGTTCTTTGCCACATGCTTCTGGGTGCTGGATCAGAGTCCTGCCCAGATGCAGTGCAGGTATGCAAGCAGGACAAATTTTTAGGGAGAGAGGTTCTTCATCCTAATGATGAAACCCAGTATTTTAGGTGTGTTCCCTCTCACTCTGTGCCCAATCCACAGGCACTATATGACTTTGCTACAGCTCCAGTCTAGGGGGCTTAGGCTTAGGTACCTAACTCCTATTGATGTTTAGAAACCTTTAGGGAGCTCATAAAAGAGCTCTTAAGTTTTGAAGCTATTGCAGAAGAGTGAATAGCCCAATTCCACTGTATCATGTTTTTCCAGTATATTTAATAAGGCTCTTAACATTTTCTACAAGTTTTCCTGGTGGGACATAATTCACCCAGCTTATTTGAAGGAGTCCAGTGTGCTAGTTTGAGATTGGCCTGCCAAGTGCACCCACAAAAGCAGGTTGAAGTCCTCCTGATAGAGGATGCAGCTGATACCAAACTGACTCTTGTACATAGGGAAAAGGCCCAGTAGTAGCAACTGTGGGTTTCTCACACCCACATTTTGCCCAGCTAATGGGATGCATCTGCAAATTATAATATTAAGCCTCCAGTCCACTGTCTGCCTTCACTCACCGTGCTGCATCTGATTTGTGTAAACTCTTCAGGTCCTGTCATCTTCTATTTGTGTGAAATGTCTTGCACACCTCCAGAACTGCACGAAAAAATAAATAACCTTCCTCATCAATAATCAAAGGGGAGAGCAGCTGCAAGCTGTACTTTGGCTGACCCTGGTCTAAGAGAACTGACGAAAGGGAAGTTAAATACTGACGTGCTGCATTGCAAGGCGGCAGGCATCATTTCACCTTTCTGAAATTATTTGCATACCTGCAAGAGCTGGAAGTCTAAAAGGGTTTTTCCTGGTAGATAGCTATTGTATCATGCATGTCTTACCTTAGTGCTTCCTTGACATGCACACTTGACGCTCAGAAGAGGTCCAAAAGAAAAGACTGAAGGAATGTAGGAGGAGAAAGACCCTGGGGCTTCATCCTGTGTTGTGC